TTAATTCTCTACGTGTAACGTTCGGATTGTTAGTACATATATATATGTATAATAATAATAATCTTGTCTTCCTCTCACACTCTCTCTCTCTCTCTGTATCTGTCTCCCGTGGGAACCGACACTGCCGGTAGGTAAAATACATACATAATATCCTACCGGTGCGCGGAATTAATTAGACTGTATTGTAACAACAGTAATAACAACGAGAACTCTATAAAAGAGGCTGGACAAGAGGTGCTTGTCGACGACATTGGTCACTATAATAATAATAGGTAACCGGAGTGCGCAATAAAAACCGTTTAGATTACCAGATCCGCGATTGTGAACGCTACAATTAACTGCACAGCGACTGAACCTCGGCCTACACTTATACAGATGAGCGTAAAACAAAATGATTGAGCTCCAAGTCGTTTAATCCGGTCACTTTTAGTGTCTAACTGGGACACAGTCTGTTATTAGATACGAGTGCTTAATCAGGTATGCGGAGTCGTGGTTGGGGTCATCCGGTGTTTGGGTAGTAAGTTTTGGTTGGCTTGTCCGTGTGCAAACAGTAAATCAATATATTCGAACCGCCTCCTGTTTTAACGGCCCCAAAAAAAAAACGTGACCTACGCTAAACGGTTATTAAATTTTTTCTATACACGTTTATATAGGCGAGCCGATCGAGTAAAGCCGTTTTCAATATCGTATTATAAATATATACTGTACAAATATTTACTCTAATCATAATGATTGATTATAAGATATCTGCACAAGAGAGCGGTCGTGCGGAGAAATAGAAAATAACATAGTTTGACGCTGCTAGAGGGTGTGCAATAACACTACTTTCGGGGATGAAAAAACATAATATAACCGGTGTGTACGTACCTACATTCTAGTCGTGATCGACCAATGCCCCGATGTGTATTATATACTCGGACGATCACTTTCGTTTATATATAATATATTATCGAATACTTATAATAGCTTACGCACCAAACTAGTATTAATAAATCACCGTCTATCACATTGTGTTGGATCGGCGGCAAGATATTGCACAACGCGCCCGTTTTGAAAGCGGTCCGTGTGCCACCGGTTAATAGATTTTCCTCCTTAGGGTTTTATTTGTATTTTTTTTTTTTTAACACATTACGCGTACAATTTAATACCTACGGTTGACAATGTTGACGGGTTTCGCAATGGCAAACGTGTTAAAAGTTCTATGCGAGAAAAGCGTACACGCATTTATATAGGCGAGCATCTAAGTGCGATGCGATGGCTGTACACAATCTCGCCTTGCCAAGTGTTAAAAAAAAAAAAAAATTACCGACAGGTATAAACACATAAAACAACTAACCTGCACGTAATAAATATTATATTATATCGAAGTATTGGAATTATTGTAAAACGTGTGACCGAAGAGAGAGTTGACGGGGACTGAGAATCGGTAAATTTGCAAATTTCGAAATGTCAACTCGTATAATATATACAACACACAGCAGACCCTAGGCGTTTGCGTAAGTTAAGCCACTTGGGCTGTAAACAACAGCCAGTTCTGTACAATATTATGCAGGCACGTTGGCGGAGAGCGTCATCGCCTCTCATCACAGCGGTCGTATCGATCCGACGGCCGCCGAGGCAATCACGGGACCGAGGGATATACTCACGTGCACACATACCCATAATATATATATATACCTTGGGGAGGCGGTAATGAGATTATGTTTCTTGCGAGAGCGCTGGCGGCGGGCCCTCGGCCAAAACCTGCAAGCTCACCGGCGTCACGCACGGCCAGAATTGAAGTGAAACACTCTTATCGAATCTCGGCCAAATTTGAAGAAGAGTAGAGTATTTTTTTTTGGGCGTTTTGGGTTGAAAACCGTCCGATCGAATGCCAACGCAAGACCGGCCGCAGCTGCTGAAAAAGAGATTCGAGAGCGGCGCAGCTCGGGTTTCGGCCGCACAACTGTTGTTTAATTTCATCATAATAATATTATGTTGCCCTAAATATACAACATACACAATATGTGGGGCAGATCTGGGTCCCGATCCGCATTTGTCTTACGACAACAATGCGCCGATATGTCCGCATCATGTTCCAGGCGGACTACCTAAGGCGCATTGTTCGCGGCCAAAGGTAAATACCTATACATACTTGTACCGCACCGCGGTCGGTTACACCAACAACCGAGACTTCAATGTAGGCGAACGTGGACGGGAAAAACTATTTCCAAAGAAACCATCCTTAACGGACAAGCGACCGGACGAAAACGAAAGTCCGCCCGTCGGCCCATAGTGTATATACTTGATATTCTCACGTCGAACCGTTTTGTTTTTTAAATATATATATGTATATACATTTTTTAATTGGACTCTCGTGGGAGTTCAGTCCGTGTGTCGCTATTATTTAGTTTCTATAATATACTCGTACATACATACACACATGGGCCCGCTCGTGTGTTCGGAATTAAAATAATAAAACAATAAGCGGATCGCCGAGAGAGTCGGACAAGAGTATGAATAAACAATGAAATGGAAGACACATCTCTCGCGGTCGCCACCATAAGGAGATACCGGAGCCGCCAAGTTCTCTTCTCTCGAACGAGCATATCATAATAAAATATGCAGGCGTAAAAAAATGAAAAACGTTTTTTTTTTTACTCCCACGGCTCCCCGTACGTTCAACGGCCCCTTTACTATACGTGAATTTATTATGAAATACACAAAGTAACGACGCGTTCTGACTTCTATTTTGTATATATTATACAACCACAATATCGGTGGCTCTTTTCTCGGCCCCGTTAAAAAAAAAAGCTCAAAAACCCAAAGTACCTCCCTATACACAACCATTAAAAAATCTGGGCTCGAGGGGAACTACTTCGTCCGTTTGAAATATTAACTTTGATTGTATACCCGGGTTGACTTCAGAGTTGTTACTTTTACTTAAGGTTTTGGATTTTTTACTATATTACTATAGAAGACTATGGTTGCTGTTAATTAATTTAAAACAATAATGTTTATGAAGTGCCCCTAATGTGGGGTTTCCCAAGAGTTGTCTGAGAGTTTCAAAATGTATAATAACATCACCTACAGCGCAATACACCCTTTATTTCCCAGCCGGTTCCGAGCGTGGCTATTTAAAGCAAACGCACGAGTACACATTTTGGGATATCGTATCCGACAATGTTCTCTATAATATATCCGGACCGTCGTGGATTTCCCAACTTTCAAACCGCAATAAAACTACAATGCACTCGACCAGATGGCGTAGTAAAATTTCATCGCTTTTTGGACCCCGAGGAGGATTTTTCAATAAACGACCAAACCTTTCTTGATCACGAGCAAAACAACCCTTGGAGAGTATTACATCCTGTATAATATAGCCGGATTATACATTTTATAGTGCCAATATAATAATATATTGTTACGACGTGTTAAACCTATTCCGATGCGTTCGACCGTACAACCGCGGTTTCGTTTATGATCAAATTTTATTTTTCATTATTTTTTTGTTAGTAAGCACCATCGGTTATTGGTCGACTCGGCTCTATAGTGTACGCGGTCAATATTGCCGATAATGATGAATACTATGGATTTTTTAGCGATAAAGTAAACGGTCGCTGTGCAAAAAAAACGGTTACCACGTGGAGCCGCCAAGTGCGCCTGGATTTAAAACTGGAGGCGACCGTATGTGCGCAAACACATAAATAAATGCACAACAGCATTGGCGGCGGTTAAGTACCCCGCGGGAGACGGTGTAAGTCGGGTTATGTGCCCGTGTGTACTTACTGTATTGACGAATAATCGGTGCGCGGCTTATAGGTTATTACTTATTATTATTATGGAAAACGAAGGCGAACGGAGCCAAGAGAGAGAGAGAGTGAGTTGGTGTAAGTACGGCGGGAGAAGCAAATAATATTATGTTAAAATATTGCCTTACGCCGGCTTGTGTGTGTGTGTGTGTGTTTGTCTTTAAACGACATCATAAAATGATACGGCGAGTGAAGAGAGAACGTCACGCTCGTTTATATAGACCTATTCGAAGGCGGTGGTATGATATTATAAGATGAAAAAAAAAAAATATATATATATACATATCCATCGGAACACGATAGTGTAAGTACAACGGGGCCGTGTGGTTATAGTGCGGTTCGGAAGGCCCCGGGGAGTCTCCGGGCATGTTGATTTAAGAATGCGCCTCGCACGAATCCGCACCGCTTTCCTACCGCGATGATTGGCCCGTGCTTGTGTGTGTGTATATGTAAAGATATAGACAGAGACGGAGACCTAGCCGAGGGAGAGAAGCCGCGATGGAAATAATGGTATAATGAAAGATTAATATTATTACCCCGGACCGAACACGCTGTAGAGCGTGTGTGTTTTAAAAAAATATAAATAAATAAAAACGCAATTCGAAGAACGACGGGCGATTCTCAAAAGACTCTTGATCTTGTCGTCGTTGCTTTTGTGTACACACTGTATACACAATTATGTTGTGCACGGGTTGTTCAAAGCAATAATCTATCACGCACGCCGCAATGGAAGTCGTGTCTCAGCTTCCGGAAAAACGTTTTAGAAGAAGTCCATAATGGCCGTGCGTCGCGCAAAACACATTGTATTTTCTTTTGATTTGTTTGAGAAACCGAAGACCGCGACAAGTTGGCGGCGTTATATTTTTTTTACATACATGTGAATCGATTCGGGTACGTTTTCTCATAGTATACACACACACGAGGTGCCTAATAATTTATATTAGTACTCCGCAGCCGTCGAGCGGTGTTTTCACGTGACGTTTTAACGACCGGATATGTCTTTTTATTATTATTGTTTTTCTTTTCCTACACGTGAAATACACGCGTCTGTTGCTCTTGTTTATGTCAACTTAACCTACACATAACGGGGCGGGTGGGCGCCCCAGACCCCGAAAATCGGGCGTTTTGTTGCCACCATTAAAAAACGATAACCAACCGTTATAAGGATTCGAGGATCAATATTAATAACAACATAAGTGCACTACTCACCGTGTTCGGATCGTCCGGGACCGAAGGCTGCGACGGCCAGCAGCAGGAAAGCCGCCGCCAAACGGTGCGTGAGCTTGTGGAGCATGACAGCGCCCGCTACCTCCTCATAGTTAAACGTTATTTCTGTGGACAGACAAAACAAATAAAATGAAATAAGTCAGACTTACAAACGCCATTATAATATATTATATTATAATCTTAACGATTACACACGTATGTATATATATATATACATATTATAATATATAAGTCTCGACGACGACTACGCTGACAAGTATACCGGGCACACATTATTAACGGCTGCTACAGTGGCCGGCCCGTAGATATTTCTGATTGTACTACCATACTGTATAGTATACGCGCCTTTGATTGCGTCCCCTATTTTCTTATTTTCCCTCCAACCGCCACCACCATCACCTTGGTCATTGTGTTCTAGGCGAGCAGCAACGCTTTTTATCTCGACCGGCCAATCTCTCTCTCTCTCTCTCTCTCTCGCGACTGTCCGACGGTTTACCAATTAGTGTCCTTCCGCCAGAGTCAACGTTGACGTTTGAACTTATTTTTGCTTCCACTACAGGTTAAACTACTCTACATATAAACCGAGAGATACGATTGTCCAATAAATGCCGTTTACCCGAGCATTACATGCAAAACGGGTCGTCATCCGAGCCGCATCGCCATTATATTTTATAAACACACACAACAAACGCAGTATTATCACCTATAGCAGCGCCATTGAGATATCTCGCCGATCGAAACGGAGCACACGGCAAACTTTACCAACCGCAAAAAGGGTTTTACCATAGACGATGCGCACATAGCTTTTGTTTAAGACTATGTTCGGCTAAGCACTTTTATTGTAATTGCAAAAACCTAAACGAGTTCGTTCTGGATAACGTTAATTCCGCAAGCGTCGCGAGTATTATTACATACTGCGATAACAACAACGCAGCTATATAATAATAACACATAACAACAATAATATAATATACTCCTCCGCGTTTTTTTTTTCGTTCCGAGAATCGTCGTGGAAAAAAAACCAGACGGACGTTGTTTTTTGCAATTTTTTCAATATACTTTTTTTGCCTTGGGAATAAAAAATAGTGTCACCGACGCATACCTCTGTCCGGCAAACCCCTTAACTTCTCTCTCTTCCTACCTACACTCCTCGTCCGGCATATTCGCGTCGTTGCGGCCTCGCAATGCGACCCGGAGACGAGCCACAGGTTGTCGTCGGCGGCACGTTATCCGCTTATAAGGCACACACACACACACACATACAAGCTGTACAATGCGACTAAAATAATAATAACAAACTCATTACAGACCGTACTCGCGGTAGACGTGGTGGCCGGTGTGTGATTTATGGGTCGGCGTCGACCGACCGTGGTATAGTCTATCTATCCGAGAGCGGTCACAGAGAGGAGCTTGTATATATGTTGTGTGAGTGGTGTAAAAGACATCGTGGCGGCGCGTGGAAAGCGTATTATTATAAGCTACAGGGTCAACCGAGTTCACCGGAGCACGAGGCTTGGAGTACTCGCACTTGACAAAGTGTGCGTATGTGCAAGTAAAAAAGGTACGGGTTTTCTATATACATTGGACTGGTAATATATATATATATGTATGTATTATTTATTTTATCGGTAGACGACGATCTCGCGCACACCTCTTTCGCTCTCTTCCTGGCGCTCGCTCACTTTTATAATAATAATTAACAATTATTAAGTAATAATAATATTTTTTTCTCCGATACACGTGTATATCGCACTGGACTACAGAGCACGTTGTCGACGGCCGGATCTGTTCGTCCGGGCGAAAACAATATCACTTATTTCGGGTCGGTTTGCTCGATATAATAGTACAAAACGGCAAAGGGCGGAATTAGATAGCGTGGGTCGTCTCGTCGGGATCGCTCTTTATATTGTTACATTTATTCCTGTAATGGTCGTGCGGGAAAAGCCAGAGACGGGCGAGGACGGTAGCCGGCGATGACCGAGAGAGAAAAACTCGTTCTGTCGCAGTGGTGTACTCTTGTACACTACCGACCACCTCGCCGCACTGCGCACTGTTCTTTTGTGTACTTAAGTGTTGTTCGCTTATTGAAGAGCTACACGGCGGAGGACGCACATCGATTCGGCGGGACGTGACACTATCCCCGAAGGCTGTTTAAACTTAAACATGGAAAGTGAAAATAATACAATCGATCGACGACCGTCTTTCTTCGTAAAGTGTCCAAGAAAAAAAAAACCAAAGCCTAAACATGATGTGTTTTCGTATTTGTTTAACTACATCCCGGACGTTTGAAGAAATCGCATCAAGTTTAACCGATGCTCGATCGTTCACAATGATGATGTATAAAAAAAAACCATTTGACATTTTAATGGTTGTTTCAAGAATAATTCGAATTGGAAAAAAAAAAAATGACAAAAACAAGGACGTTCGAAATTACTTTTTGTAATATTTTTTTATACGGTCGTAACCGGCCCGGGACTGTATTATTGAAAACAAATTGCTTTCTTTCAGGGGTATTTTTTTTTTTTTTTGCAATTGCATTTTTTATGTACTCTGTATACTACTATGAACCGCAAACCGAGAAAACGTCACTACAATGAAACGCGCGACGTTTTTTCTTACATAACCCGACGCGACGGCCTTGGGGGTGGCATATTTCCGTGTGTGGGATTATTTAGTAAACAAATACAAGAAATGTCCTCACAAAAAACAAACATATTCTCTCAGTTTGTTTCGTGTTATTTCTTTTGGGCCTAATATAAAGGAAAGTAATTGTCTTCGTAAGAAGAAAGCAGCGTAATTGCACACCCACCGGAGGAGGAGACGACAAACAGACTACTATACTAGTATAGTCGATGCGTCCTTCGGGTAACGCCATTGTTTGTGATAGCAACGTTCGCATGTGAAACGAAATAAACTTAACTAACAGCTATAAAACGTAGAATTCGGCTGATGAAATCGCTGCTGCGATCACTCACGGTGTTTTAGAGTCTTGGGAGTACACGAAATTCGAAAATGAGATGTTATCTTTAATTAAAACGGAAGAAAAAACTAAACAAAATAAAAATAATAAAAAAACCGTTACCATATAGGTTTCGTAAACTGTCTGGACAATTAAAAAAAAAAAGCTTGCGATATCCTCCCCCCCCCCCAAAAAAAAGTCAAAATTATCTTCTGCGACTTATTGTACAATAAGTACAAGTACACCAAACTCTTATTCGCCTGCGACGACAACGATTCTATACCATTGTGTGTGTGTATGTGCCCGCAGACTATAAGAAAACAGATAGCTCACTCGGCCGAAAACAAAGAAAATTGTTTTAATTAGAACTGATTAAGGACTCGTGAAGATGTCAGTGTAGTCGCATGAATTAGTATAAATTATCGTGCAGATATTTTTACAATATTATTGTACAAACTCCTTATCCTAAATCATACGGTTTAAATGATAACCGACTATAACGATCTGATCTGATCTGTGATATTATTATTATTATGAAATTTTATGCTTGAATCTGCGGTCACGCCGATTTCATTTTGACGTTATGGTTTCTGTTTTCATGTAGTCTGTGGTGTGTGTGTGTGCAACCAACAAAGATAGGTCCGAAAGAATCCGATAATTAAAAAAACAAAAAGCCATTATCGCGTGTCTCGCGGTTTGTGGACTAGCGCAAATGGACCTTCTCAATAATGCTCGGCGCGAAGGACTACTCCTCGGCGTAGTGTATATATCTGTGGAATGCTCGCAAGTGAAATCACTATATTATTATTATATTCTTACTCGTTATATTATATAGTGTACGTATATACGGCGACGGTGATAATAATAATAATAATGATGATAATGATAATAATAAAGAAGCGAACGATGTGTCGGCCAAATAGGGGAGGGAGAGAACCGGTTTGTCTGGCCGACGTCGCCACAACAGCAGCAGCAGCAGCAGCAAAGAGTGCACATGAAGTCTGAAGAGCACACATACAGACCAACAGAGAATACAAACACACGAGGCGGCAGCGGATCGAACCAGCGGCCACCGGACAAAGCCCCCTCGGAGCAAATGACTGAGCTGGACGCGTGGAAGGGCGACCGGGCGGACCGGTTAATCAATTTCTGGAACGAATATATATGTGTGTACCTACTCACCGAAAGTGTGTGTGATCAATTATCGTTATGTCATACACTGGCTCCTGTGATCCATTAAAAAAATATATATATATATATCCTTAAGTCTATCCAATACACGTTTATACGCGGTTAAGTTGATAAAAAAACCAAAAAAAAAAACGAGAATCATTATTGAAAAAAAACCTTCTGGTTTTTATTTCACCACGCTTCTTGTTTGTTTTTTTTTTTACTTTTTTTGCCGTTAATGGGCAATTAAGCGATTAAGACGTCGTGAATTTGTGTCGGGGTATACAGCAGCTACCCGGTCCGGTAGCCAATTGTGAACAGCCCGGAGAGGTCGTGCTTCACGGAATTGGTCGCTTTGGAGAAAACAAATTCCTAACCGACATTATAATATAATATATTATAGAGGTACATGACAATATAGTATTACGATTACAACAACGGTATTGGCGCATCGAGCGACTGATAGTCAAAAGATTATTTATGTCAGAAAAAAAAATACCGCAAATTGTAGTAGGTAGAATAAATTATGGTTTTCTCGAAAATCACTTGAGCTCGGGAAGACGGGAATTACACATTTTTGCAATAATTCACGTTAAAAGAGATACATTAGGTCATTAGCCGGAGTGCAAATTTAAAATTTGACTAGAAAACAACGGTGTAACGGTCACATTTAGCCGCCCGAAACAGACACGACACAACGCTAATATGTTCAATTACACCGACTGGAGTACAAAATATTTTATAAGGTGTAACTGGCGGCAAAGGTGGCGTCTCCGACTTGTACTTTTCAAGACAAATGTTCAAATCCATACACGATTCTGGTGATTTTTTTTACATGACGATTTCCCGGTATTGTCCGATTCGTTTGGAAGTAAGAAATCTTAAGAGGACCGGGGCGGCGAAAGGGGGAGACAAATTATAGTGGAAACGTGTTGTTGTTTCACCGGCGTCCCGCGCGTGTCAATTAGACGAGAGG